TTCCTTCCTTCCTTCCTTCCTTCCTTCCTTCCTTCCTTCCTTCCTTCCTTCCTTCCTTCCTTCCTTCCTTCCTTCCTTCCTCCATTTCTTTCCTTCCTTCCCTCCTTCCCTTCCTTCCTTCCTTTCTTCCTCCAGCCCACCTTTCCTTTCTCTTTTCTTTCCTTACTTCTTTTCTTCCTAAATCCTAAAAGGAACCAAGGTCCATTCTTTAAAAAAATCATCTAGGAACCCTAATGTATTTATACATTTGGAGCCAAATTCTGAAATTTATTTTCTATTCCCAAAAAGAATTGAAAAGGAGATGTTTAGGATTTTAAGGCTAGTATCTAGTGAGGAAATACTGTCACTGAGTCAAAAGAGGCCCCAGATTGGGAATGACTGTATTTAAGGGCAGTACCATGAAGTGGTTCTGCAGCCAGAATGCCTGGTTAGAGTTCAGCTTTACCGCTCACGTTCCCATGCTGTCTCCTCATCAGTGAGATGGGGGTGATGGCACACCTACTCTTTGGGGATATTGTGAGGAATAAATGAGTTAATATATGTAAAGCACTAGAATGCTGCCTGGCCTATAGTTATCTAAAATGTTAGCTTTGGCGTACAACTTAGCAATTAACTTTGAGTTGTTATATGACCATATTTGGGAAGCGATTCTTTGAATTGTTATGTTCCATGACATGCTAAATATCATATTTGCTGGAATTGACCAATATGGGGGTTATACAGTTACAAGGTCTCTATTGTAGACGTTGAACAAATACAGTGTAATTCTGTTTTCCTGAATTATTTCCACTGAGGAAAATGGGTAATAACAGTACACTCAAAATCAGTATTGACTTCTTCTTGGGTTATCCAAATGTAGAAGTATAACTTAAAGTAATGTGAAACTTTCTGATATTTGCACCTAGAGAAAGCAGATTATAGTAAAGGACTGACAATGGTTCACTGAAGCAAAAACACTTAATTGCTAAGTAGAAATAAAGACAACAGCTTAGTATAAATTCTTTTTTTTTTTTTGTCTTTTTGTCTTTTTCTGTGTCCGGCAATGGATCGCAACCCTCAGTGTTGCCCCCGTACCGGACCGGGGACCGGCAACGGGATCGCAACCCTCGGTGTTGCCCCCGCGACTCGCTCAGCCAGTGAGCGGGAACCGGTCTGTATGTGGGATCCGAACCCTTGGCGGGAGCGCCGCCGCGCTTCCCAAGCGGCGCACTATCCAGTGTGCCACCGGGCCGGCCCGTATAAATTCTTAAATGAATTATCTTAAAATTATCCTGTCATGAAAAAGAAAAGATACAAAATAAATAGGTGGTAGGTCTCAAGAAAATCTTTGTAAGAACCCAGAATTTTTAAAAAAAATTATTGTAGAAAGGCTAGGGTTTGAAAGGTAGAGGAGTGGAGAGTAACATCTATAAATTAATGAAGCATATTGTCAGAGAAATTCCTGTTTTTCCATAAAAGGAAAGGTGTCCTATAAACTGATGTCTTGTTCTTACAAGGGGAGTAGGGTATTTTTTAATCTTTTCTTTTAACTGAGAAAAGAACAGATGGCTTTCTAAAGCAACTGGCTGTAACATTCACCAGGTAGTTAGACGTGCGTCTGTACATGCCCTTCATTAAGCCCAGGCTATACCCTAAGTCAACACAATCCTCAGAAAAGATTCAGAGCAGAGGACTTGAGAAACTGAGATTAGACATTTGAGAATGTACAATAAATCAAGGAGTTTCTGTTTATTTTAAGCTTTTTTTTTAGTGTATCCAAAATGAATTTAATAGGCAAATGGTATTAATTAGTAAGTTAAATATTTTCACTCACATTTTTCTATTTCCTTTTATATTGTAGTCAAATATACATAATATAAAAAATTTCATTTTACCATTTTTAAAGGTACAGTTCATGCAACTATCACCGCCACCTCCGGAACTTTTTTCTTCTCTAACTGAGACTCCGTATCC